GTTTAGGGTTCAGGGTTTCGGGTTCTAGGGTTCTGGGGGAACAATGAGAAGCAATTCTGTACAAGCCTAGTTGGAGCTCTGGTTTTGTCGAGCTGTTCTCCAGCAAGCCGCCAGAAGGTCAGCTTTCAGCAGCCAACGGTGACCTCGATTGACGCTCGGTGGGACGGTTCGCTGCCTTTGTTCTTCTTGGCATGATGTCATTATCAGGAAAAGGTAGGCATGCCGCTCAGTGGTAATGGTGGTCACCCTGTTGAGTCGTCTACCAGTCGTTGTCATTCTCATCTTCCTGGGAGTCATCGTGGCCACCACCGCGGCGGTCAGAGGAGGAGGAGGATGATCAGGAGGAAGTAGGGCAAGCGTCCTCCTGTAATGGTGGCAGTAGTAACCACAGCAGCAGTAGCAGCAGCGGCAGAAACATAACAGCAGCAGCAGCAACAACAGTAGCAAGAGCAAGAGCCGTTGATGGTGACAGTGCCGATCCCAGAATTTGTCCAACATGTGCCGTCGCTACAGCAGCTAGCTAGAGCGGCATTTAGCACTGGCCGTAGTAGTGGTGACAGGAGCTGTTTGCCCTGGAAACCGCGGCTAAGGCTAAGGCAGACCTGTCAAGCAAGTTAGCCGTAATACCCTAATACCCTAATACCCTAATACCCCAATACCTTGTTTCCCTAACACCCTAATCCCGTAATACCCTAATACCCAAAGGAAACCAACATCATCAACAACAGCCTAAACCCTAAACCCTAAACCCTAAACCCTAAAACCCTGAAACCCGCAAGGAAACCAACATGATCAACAACAGCGTCTCCCTGGTGCAGAGCACCGTGGTCACTGTGGTGGGGAAGCTTGGGCTTTGTTCCGTGTAGGGGGGTTTAGGGTTTAGGGTCTAGGGTTTAGGGTTTAGGGTTTAGGGTTTAGGGTCTAGGGTTTAGGGTTTAGGGTTTAGGGTTTAGGGTTTCAGGGGGCATGCAACAATAAAAACTACGAGCCTTATGTCGATTGCCTTGCTCGAAGATGTTCCAGACAACTCAAAGATCCTATGGTCTGCAGATGTGGGTGCTTGCAACACGTGTGTTCTAGCTTCCGAGCTTTGGACATGGTGTTGTTAGTACAGCACTGAGTGGCTCTTGATTGCACCCAGCTCGCTCCATCATTGCTGAAGGCGATTGCAGCAGCGTACACAGCTTTCTCAAATGTAAGGGTTTTGTGTCGCGCCTGCAAGGACCCATCTGGCTGTCCCAGATCAATTCACTACTGAACCTTTGAGCGTCGAGATCTTCGTAGCTGGTGTACCAGCAAACTGCACAACCTCCGCCCCTGCCACTGCAATTTGAGTTTGTTTTGGGAGTCTGGCATGTCTTTCATATTCTGGCATCCGTCGGTTCCAGGGCAGCCCAAGGGTACTAGTCAAAATTGCATATTTGGGGGGCGGTGCGTTATCAGCGACCCATGTCACTCCAATAGTTCCTGGGAAGGCCAAGGACTCGCAGTTGCCGCAGGGCTGCGATGTTTCAGGGTGTGCAGGAGTAGGCACAGCCACATCAGTTTCTGGCTTCAGGGTGCCTGCACGTTCCAAGGACTGCCAAGAGCCTGCGCTGCAAGCCCTTCTAGATGCCGGCGAGATGAGTCTCTGTTCGGACCTCGCGCCTCAGCGGACATGAGTTCGAAATAATACTGTCTGGTACCGTGTGTATGTGAGCCCATGCCGCTCTTCACGTGTGGGAAGAGAGCGTAGCAAGCTCATTGAGTACAGCGGCTTGCTCTTTGTCAGTGGACATTCGTTTCATTCGTTTCTTCAGTGGGTGCCAGTTATGATGATCCGCGCGCGGCGATTTAGAATCACTCAGCCAGCAATCAGGTAGTTCCGATGCAAGGGCAACCGTACATGTTGGGCCCCCCTGCAAGACTCCAAGGTGGTCGTTTCCACGGATACCTGTACATGCAGCATGGAGCCCACAGGCCAGTGATCCCTATGCTGCAAGGATTTAGATTTAGCAATTCCTTTGGCCCATGACTGAGTTAGCCATCTTCTTGTGGCTAGCCCTGAAAGGGGGCACTGATTGCTAGTAAAGTGTGTAGGCATCGACTGGCCTCGCCTCCGATGCATCTACTTTTGAAAATTCGTTCTGCCCCTGACCAGCCCACGCACAGCTTGCCATTTGCCTCGTCCTTCGGACTGGTGGCCTAGCTGCAAAGCTCTGAGATCCGGGTAGACGTGGCTTGGGTGCCTCGAGGGCTTTTGGTAATGTTTGACCCACCTTGTCGCTGTAGGATTGGGGTTGCAATGTTCTACCAGTCCAGGGTATAAGGTATAACTACGGCGTTTAAAGTGTCACTCTGTGCTGCGCCCTGCCTCCTTGCTGTGCTGAGCCAAAGGGCGTCCCTAAACCCTAAACCCTAAACCCTAAACCCTAAACCCTAAACCCTAAACCCTAAACCCTAAACCCTAAACCCTATCCGTTGCTTGTGACGCTGAAGGCTTCTTCGCTGGCCGGTACTGCGCGGCCTTTGGGCCTCCGGCCTCCCTTCAGCCCGGCCAGCCTGCGGTGGGAGGTTGGGCTCGGGGCCTCATGTTGCAGGGTTTAGGGTTTAGGG